CGGCACGGTGGTGAGGGGCGGCACGGTGGTGGTGTCGAGGGAGAGCGTCCAGACGCCTCGTAAACGCACAGGCTTGTGCCGGCCAAGGACGCGCAGGCAGGAGGCTGTCAGCTCCGCCACCGAGGCCACAGCGGGCTGGCGGGGGGCGCGCTGGTGAGAGGGCGGCGGGTCACTTCGGTTCATGAGACACAGCGCATGGCAGACCGGCAGCGCCGGGCCCTCCTTCGGCCTTGTGGAACGTGGACACGCACGCCAGGCGCAGGCCGTGGCGCTGTGGGGGTCCTGTCATCACGGCCGCGACGTGCCAGGCCGGCCCCCTCACGACGCTGCACAGCACACGCGGTGCGTGCGCCACGCGGCCGACCCGCCAGCAGTTCGTGGGCTCACAGTGAGGAGCTGCCCGGCTCACCCCGTCTGCACCGCGCCGACCTCCGCCTCAGTGCTCACTCTTAAGGGGCGCTGACCCCCGTCCGGCCGGGACGAACCTCAGCCTGGCGCTGTCTGGGCTCCGAGGGTCCCCGAATCCCTCACCTCCACCCTCGGGAAACGCGATGTGCTGCGTTCTGTCAATTCTGGTCCCAAAAATCGAGCCGAAGCCGCAGTGGTTTGCCAGGCTCTCGCTCCTTTGATGGCTGGAGTGTCACTTCAGGCGAGGACTGGACAGGTCCCCAAGTGGGCCACAGAACCCCGGGAAGGTCCTGCTGTTGGGGTCCTTTCCCTGGAACGGACCACGTGACCGGGCCAGGGTGACAAGGCGGTTGCCTGCAGGTCCTAACAGCAGGGACTCAGCATGTGGCCCGCGGCCCCGCGTGTGGGTCCAGCTCCCAGACGTCTGGGCTCGTGCAGCCAGAGCCTGGTCCGCCGTGGACGGGTGCTCGGGGCAGCAGCGCCATCCTGAGAGCCATCGGCAGCCCTCACGCTCACGGGCCCCGGAGGGTGTGCGGGGGGTGCACGTGAGCCCACACGTCTGTGCGCACCCCACTGTCCCCTCTGCTGGTGGGGGCCCAGGGGAGAGAAGTAACGTTGCGGTGACGTCTGCGTCTCTCCTTTGTTCGATGCCACGATTCCTTTTTTAAATTTGAGTTGAACCAGAAGGAGCCACGGCACGTCTTCCCTCTGAAGGACCGGGTCACGCGGTGACGGTGCGCTTTCCAGCCACAGCGGAGGGACGAGGCGCAGCCACAGCCGGGAGCCCCTGGCCGAGCAGAAGAAGCTGCAATGTCACATCCGCGCTCAGTCCCCCGTGACCTTCCAGGGACGTCGCCCAGCGGGAGAACCTGCGGTCTCTGCTTTTAAGTCGAGGTCGTGAAAGCTGCGGGGGGGGCGGTTCTGAGAGAGAAGCCCCAGCCTGGTGGTCGCCGAGGACGTGGGCCAAGTGACGTCACCGCAGGGAGGTCCAAAGTGTCCCGCCGGTGACCCTTGAAAACGAACTTGCTTTTCGTCCCGCTGTGTGTTGAGGGAGGTTCGGAACACATTCGGCTAACTGAAGTGGGTGCCGACTGACGACCCCCAGAGGACGACCGTTCAGACGCCCTGACCGTAAGCAGCTGGCCGAACACGGGCCCAACCCTGGGCTCAGCAGACACCTGTGTGCGCGTAATGGCGGTTTGCGGTCAATGCTTTTTGTCGGTTCATCTCAGCTCCTAAGAGTAAAACATGAAACCGATTTAAATTTACCAGTCAGCCCCTCTCCCCCTGGCTACCAAAGCTGCGACTGCCCAGTAAATTCTTGGTCTCTGGACAAGTGACTCAAACGCGGGCCTGGTGTTCTCTCGGTTCTAATCCCCACCCCATCCCGAGAGGTTGGCTGGGGTCCTCGCCCCCCAAGGGTCGGGGTCACGGCTGGGAGCAGCTGCCCACCCCCCCGTTCACCGCATCCACCAGCAGGCAGCGTGCCCGGCCGTGACGTGCCTGATGCTTCATTTTTAAGATCGGCTGTGTTTAGGACACTGGGGACATTATTGCTAAGTTTTTAATGCAGATTAGAGTTTCTGCAAATGACATCGTCATCGTGCTTATTTTTAACTGCGCGTTCGGAAATGCGAAGGACGGGCCCCGCCACCCCTGGTCCATTCGGTGTCTTCATCGAGTCGATCGGCCAGTGGATCGAACACAGACAAATGGTTTTACGTTTTCTGAGAAAGATCCCAGGGTCCGCAGGTTACAGGGCGTGTGGATACGGCGCGTGGCTGTCCCCACCCCCGTGTCACGGGGTCTGAGGCCCAGAGACGGTGTGTGACGGCCACAAGCTCTGCATCCATGGACGTGGCACGCACATGGGCAGGGTGCTGCAGGGACGCAGGAAGTGACCAGAGAGGCTGGGGACGGCCAGCGCAGAGACCACGGAGCTGCCGGTGCGGTGCCAGCTCCCGCCAGGACCCGGGGACTTCCCACAGAACGGGGGACACTGGCCCGCCTTCCTCCAGCCACGGTCCCCCTGCCTCGGGAGTCTGAGGAGTGAGAGTCCGTCCATCACGTGAAGGGTTTGCCTCTGTTCTGCCCTCTGTGGCCTGACACCGCTGCCCGGACCCCTTCCCTCTGCACCGGACGCGCGTGGAACGGGGCCATCGGAACCGTCCCCCGGTCGCCGCCAAACAGATGACACGTTTCCTGCCGTGGTCAGGATGCTGTTTGCTGCCCTCCCCGTGACAGTCATCACGGGGAAGCAGAGCGGCAGCCGAGTGTCCCCGTCCCCCGTCTGGGGCCCTGAGCACGGTGACTGAAACGCCGCGGCAACCAAGACCTGTCAGCACGCGGCGCCTCATTCGCCTCCCCGAAGCCCTGAGCAGACTCGCGATCACAAAGCTCTCGTGGAAGCGGCTAACTGTGCTCGTTTGCACATCCTGACAACTTTGAAGTGTGCTGCTCCCTAAATCGCTTCGGGCAAGAAAGCGCATTTGCCCAGGAGGGGCAGCTCGGCTGGCTGTGAGGAGCTGTGACCAGCGGGGGGCCTGGTCACCCCAGCACGGGGCCTCGTGAAAAACCCAAACTCCCCATTTTGCTAAGCGTTTTCCTCCTGAAATACCTTAACTGGGGCTTTCTCTGAGAGTGACGTACTTTTCCCTGTGTTGTGGGTGTTGGGGTCCGGTTTTGTGTGCAAACCTCCAGCTTTCCTGCCCCCGCCAGCCCCCCGCTGCCGGCCGGGCCCCCGTGCTGCTGCCGGAGTGACCGGCCCCTGCGCTGATGCACGCTCTCTCCGCTGTGGCGTGTCCTTCCCTGCAGACAGCCGCGTCCCCGCCCCGGGATGGTGGCGGGCCAGAGACCCCTGGGC